ATGAGGAGCTTGGCCTAGGAGATTCCTTCCAGTTCTAAAGTGTTATGGCCCTAGGCCTTTAATATGTTGGCGGGTGGAATGAGGAGGTTTCTTATGTTATTATTTGGAAAGTTATTGGATTTCCCTACTTTGAGGGAAGAGGAAGTATTTCTAATCTTTTTGTCTTGCACCTACATATAGAGAATCCACTCAACTGGACAAACTTTCACAAATGTCAAATCATCATTGATCACCTGGATTTAGTGCAAAATCCTCCTCAGTAAACCATTCATTACTTATTGATACATATTGAGCAACTACTGTGTGAGAGGCTTGAGCTGAGCCTCAGAGATACACACAGGCATACTATCCTGAAAGAACAGTGTAGGGTAGAGTTAGTCTCAACTTTGATATAGTCTCTCTAGATTTAAGGCGTTAGATTTCTCCTTGACTTGAATTACATAGTATTCATGCCTCAAATTGTCAAGTTTTAGTTTCAAGTGCAGACATGAACACTTGAACTGGGTGTGAATATTTAATCCTACATTTAAATGTATCAATCATGTTAAGTAAGGCTTTCTACTTTCTAAAGAAAATGGCATAGAAGAGAGAAAAACCAAGTCCTAGATAACTTAGGAGTGACTTGTCTCTAAAAAGTGATGAAGTGACTATTCACAGTGGAGCTAGGTGTTGAATAGTATAACCATCACTATCTATTGAACAATTACTCTGTGCCAGGCAGAGTCCTAAACACTCTATGCATATGAGCACATTTACTGCTCACAGACTTATAAGGCTATACACAAACCTACATAGACATTGAGGCCTTACAACTTGCCAAAATAGTATAGCTTATAAGTGGAAGGGCCAGGATTCAAACCCACATCCATCTAGCTCTGAGCCCAAGTCCTCAACCACCAGGACATACTACAAAAGCTTTATATATTGGCAAAATAAAAGATTGTGTGTGTTGGGGGGAGTGGGGGATAAGGTGGTTGATTGGGATTTTTTTTTTTTTTTTTTGGCAAAATATCTTTGAAATGCCTGGCTATTTAATTAATTTCTATAGATGATGTGGAAAAACACAAGAATTTATATCAGTATTTATACAAATTACAATGTCTACAGAGGGGTTTCTCTCTTTAAATCTTTAGACTAATAAAGTGATATTATTTGCAGAAATCCAGACGCCTGAAGCATAGAGCAAAGGTTCAAAATAAACTTAAATTTTTGGTTTCCCAGCAAAGCTCTAGAAACAGGATTCCCCTACCTTTTATTAATGGCAATATTAACAGATTCCTAAGGGAATGAATCCTGTCCTTTCATTGGGTTCTTAGGACTATGCTCGAGTTACAGTATTTGCTACTGTAAGATAAAAGCTTCTTTTGGTCCAAGGGAGTGTCTTGGTCATTTGTTCTAAATTTTTTCAAGAATTCTAAGCAGGGAGGTCAAATAAAAAGGTGCACTTTTATCTCGCTTGTATGAAAAACATTTGACAGAAGAGTCTCAGTGATTTCTCTCAAGGAACCACTCTTACTCTAGGCACGGACCTGATCCTTTATGATGATGACTCATATTTACTGGCATGTCTCCAGATTCTGTTGATCAGCAGACAACTGAACAAATTCATAATACCCTGTTTATGTTCCTTACAAAAACAGAAGCAAACACTCCAAATTTCTGCAAGACTATATCATTAGAAAATCATTCAGTTTTTCTTTTTTAACAAGTTCTCGTGTGGGACTTAGCACATGCTTTGCCCTTTACAAATTCTAAATCATTAAATCCTTATAACAGCTCTATTATCCTCATTCTGTTACCAGGACCCCAATGTTAGAGTTCGTCTACCTGTGTGCACTGGCACAAAGAAATGGACAACAAGAGTTTGCAGTATAAAAAGAAAAATGGTTTTATGTTGAATTGGCCAATCCAGAGATGAGGAGCTTATAAAGATCTGACTCCCGATGGCAGTAGCTTATGGATTTTACAAGGCAAAATCACAAGACACCTTGGGTAAGGGGTTCTGGATCATGCTGGGAGCTGACTGGTTAGAGGTGAGGTAATTATTTCTTCAGGTCTTGAGGACAGTTCTGAGGTCTGCTGCCTCATCCCCTTGTCTGATCTCATGAAAAAGTAGCCAGGGGAGTCATTCCACCTTAGGGTTCAGGAGCTGAATCATAACTTAGGTCAAGATGTTATCTTTAGCCTGCCAAAGGTCTAGACCTGGTGACCATTAGGTCTGAGCTATAGTCTCTGCTGCCTCAGGAGTCGCTGATTATGGCGGGGCAAGAGGTAGGTTAAGTTGCTGAGGGGGAAAGAGAGAGAAATTTAAAGCTAAATTTAATCAAAGTCATAAAAAATTTAATTTTACATGTTAGAAAATGATGTACAGAGAGATTAAGTAACTTGCCCAAAGTCACGCAACCAGCAAGTGGTAGAGCCAGGTACTCTGGCTCCAAAATCGGCTCAGAACCTCCACTCTATGCTGCTAACAGGTGAAATGTAGCCCCTTCCACTTACAGAGAGTCTTATTTTTTAAAGCTTAAGCCTTTAAACGTTTCAAAAGATAAAAACGAAGTTTGCCTAGGAGAAATATTAGCTCCCCACAGCTACACAAAAAATAGATACCTTTTGCCCAGTAAAGAAGGGAGGAGAGATACCAACTTTTAAAGTGCCTCTGAAAGAGCCAACATCTTGGAGGCAATTGCATAACTACTCTTAAGAAGGTGTGACAGAACATGAACCAAATGTTCCTAAATTGTTGTGACAAGGTACTGGTCTACAAACTATAGCATGTGCTCCTATTTTCTGCTTGGTTGACTTGTTATTACAGACAGATTTACTGCTTTAATTCTAAAATTCACCCATAAAGATTCCAGTTATGCCTGTAGGTGTTTTATATATCACCGTAATCTAAGGCCATAATCTAAAACCACACTTCCTATATCTATATCCAAGATTAGAATTTGGTTTCACTGATAAAATTCACAGCTGGCAAATTTCAAATTAAGGAGGAAAAAATACTATCAGATGAGCCTGTATGCAGAGCAAAGTCCCAAACAGACACCTGATTCAGGCCTGAGGGATTCCTCAGAGAACTTTGAAATAAAAATCCAAAGCAAATTCCCTTACAGTAATCACGTGTTCCTGCAAACTTGTCATTTCCTGCGCTCCAGTGGAGGTTTCCACAATGCACCTCCAATTTCCCCCTCAGCGGGGCTTCTGACAAAGCAGGAAACCTCACACCATTTCAAAGTAATAGCAAGACCCCTGGCTGAGGTCCCTGTGGTCCTAGCTCTGGAGGGGGTGTGGCAAAGCATCTGCTGTCCCTGCCTCTGGAACAAGGATTCAAGAGAAAAAACTTCACCACGCCCCACCTCCATAGCTGCCCTGCAGAGAACTTTTGTTCTGGCCTGGAGAAGAAAAAAAATCATGAAATACAGACTTGTTATTTCGTGTTCAAGGAAACCAAAAAAAGACAAGGAACACCCAGGACATATATAATATCTGCGAATATTATAAATCTCATTGCCTTCATTTTAACAAATACAAGAAATGCCAAAACTCTACTGCTAAAAACACCCAAATTTAAAAATTATTATTGCTATTATTCTTATCGTTACTATTACTGCCTTTTATTGAGCACTTACTCTGTGCAAGGCCTTGTTGTAAATCTGGCCTTTTAGAAAATACTTTCCAACATATTTTGAAAATAGTTGTTTCCATGTATTTGTTTTAAAATTACCTGCTATAAGATTTCTTTAGGTCACTCGCTCTTCTTTTAATATGTAATCTAAGGAACAGGAGTGTTTCCCAACTGGGTCCTGCAGATATGTTCTTTAAGATTCAGTAATGAGTTCAATAAGAAATTTGTTTTCATTTTGTATTTTTGTTTTAATGATAATCTTAAAAAGAAATCTTTTACCCTTTTTTGTTTGGGGGTAAGGGATGGGGATAAATTAAAAACCAACAGACTTTCCCATAATAAAAGACTTTAATTTCTTAAGTCGGTTTTTCAAAGTAGAAAATTTATTCCCATATGTTTCTAAGTTTTTTTCTTT